GTATGTACTGCTGATGCATATGCCCTCTGTGGTTAACTATACTCAGAGGCATCACCAACACACCAGTCCAAGTCTTGTAATACTGCCAAAGGCGCGAAAGGTGTCTCCAAATTTCTTACGCCCTTGAGCTGCCGCCCAACGTCCTATCCTCGATCAATCCTGATGGTCCTTCATGTCTGCGAATTTCATTTGCCTCCTCAAAAAGAGACTCCATTCGCCGTGCCACGCCACTCATCCTGGGTCTCAGTCTGTCATCATTTTTCACGCACTCCATTGCAAGCTGAGTTATCTTCATAGCCACATCCCTTAAGGACCTGACTTCCATTTGATAGCCCTTGCACAGTGCCGGATCCAAGATTGCATCAGGCAAATCCACAGAAGGATCTTCGAGAAACCGCTTCACCCAGAAGACGAGAGTCTCCATACCTGTCCCAGAAGGAGATGGCATAACAACCCTTCTTCCTGTCAACAGCTCCAACAGGATGACACCGAAGGCATACACGTCATTCCGGTCAGTCAAAAAGCCGTGCAGGAAGTACTCTGGGGACATATACCCATAGGTACCTGCAACATGAGAGGTCTTTACAAAGATCTCATGGGTGGTGCCGAACACTCTCTCTCCTATCGCTGCAAGACCAAAATCTGCAACCACCACATGGATACCTTCCTCCCTGCAGTCATCAAGTAAGACATTGCTGCTTTTGATATCTCGATGGAGAACAGGTGGGTCTGCACCTTTGTGTAGGTAGCTTAGGCCCCTGCCAATCTGAGAAGCAACGTTAATGCGCTCCAGAAGAGTCAGTGGAGCATGTAGCAACTGTGTGCGAGAGTCCACCACTCGTTCGTGCAGCCGGGCATGCAAGCTTCCACCAGGAAAGTAAGGGTACACCAGGATGGCCTGATCACTTGCATGGCAGTAGCCAATCAATGGGATGAGGTTGGCGTGATGGACCCTACCGAGAGTGTTGATTTCTGCAAGAAACTGCCTTCGCTTCATGTCTGTAAACTGCCCGGTCATGACTTTCATTGCCACCTCCACACCATTCACCACACCCCGGTACACGGAACCAAATGCTCCTGTTTCACCAACCTTATGGTTGTCACTAAAATTGTCTGTGCTCTGCTCGAGGTCCTGCAAAGTAAATACTTTCAGTTGAGTTGGATGAATCTCCTTCCCTCTGCCACAGTCAAGTGCTTCAGCTGTATCTTCACTCATATCCACATCCACCTGGGAACATGTTTTCCCGGATTCCCTGGCCGTGGAGAGCTGCTCCCTCTTTGCCTGTTTGTGCCTTCTCCAGATGTAAACAGCGACGATGGTCAGCAACATGAAGAAAATGGTGGACGACACAGCTGCGGCAGCTATGACAACCACACTATTGTTGCGTCCGCGAATATCAATCGGAGGAGGACCAGGAGGTGCACCATGAACCGGAGAAGGTGGATCATGAACCGGAGGACGTGAGGAGGACAGTGGAGTAACAAAGTCACAGGAATGGAGCCGAGATCTATCGAGTTGAAGCTCGATGATGTCACCGCGGGTTGTTCCAACGTACAAGTACAGGTCGACACCATCATCGTGGAGCGCCAAGCCCCAGAATCCGGAATCGTTACTTCTGAGTATGGGTTCCACTGCAACTCCCATTGAACATGGGGAGTCGAGCTTGATCCAGTGAACATAACCTGGAGTACTATCCTCGGTTACGAACAGATTGCACCCTTCAGCGGTGGTCACAACCTCGCGAAGCAACCCAAATGATGCTCCACGGGCAGGCCCATCCACAGTTGCTGCTCCTCCAGACCCAGCAACAAGCGTGAGGTTCACCTCTGGCAAGTCCGGTGCAGTTATGCTCCACACTTTGGCCTGTAAGTTGTCCGTGAAATAGAGGCAACTTCCGTCCGGGACAAAGCTCTGCTTCACGAAGTAGATGGAACTTATAGAATGGACTGCAGCTGCAGCAGTGAAGGCCTCCACTGCCTTGAAAGTAGTCCAGTTATCAATAAGAGTGTCACCATCCCTAGTGTCTGCGGAAAGAAGCCGGATAGGACTCATTGCGTTGGTGATGTACAGCTTTGTCCTGGCTGGATTAAATGCCAGACTCCATAAGCGAAACGTATCTGTGAGCACCGTTGAGCGATTACCCAAGGCTGTGGACACCACTGCAACTCGTGACTTCGCTTCGGCTGGGTTATGTACGCCTGCAATGAGGTTTGTACCAAGTTCAGAGATTTCAAGGGTACTGAACATGTACATTGGTATCCTGCTGCTGTTTGTATAGTTGTAGGACATGGGATATGAAACACGCGGTCCATCTGGTTCAGAAACTGGGAACCAGTAAGTAATGAGCTCAGCAGTGGTACTCAAGCGTCCACCAACCGACCGTATAGCAGTCTTCCGCAGTGACATTCGCTCGTCAGTTTTGTCAGTCCCATCCTGGCAAGTGTCGAAAACACCGTAGTAGAGAGACACAAGTCCATTGGCATCCTCCCAAACCTGGATCCCGAAGATGAACCAAGAACAAGTACGCCTGGTGGTTGGGTCTTCAAGGTAAGGGGCTTCGGGTTCAAAATGTACCACGAGATGGCTCCTCTTCACTAGGGCATCGTTCAGCACAGTTATCAGGGGTGATGGGGTAGTGTTGGCAGACTGTTCCATGACCGTTCTCTGAGCAGATCGTGAACCAACCCTTAAGTCATCATCACTGTCATGAGGAACTCGGCTTTCAACAATCTGATGGGACAAACTAGCCAGTTCTACATCTGAAATCAGAGTAGCTTTTGGTGGTGTTGGTTCAGCTCGGGATTGAGTAAACCCTCTGTCTACTATAGCCACAACACTGATGATGACAGGACTAAAGCAGGCCACGATCATCATCATTAGCAAGCACAAACTAGCAAGGACAACTTTTGGCTCGGCAAGTCGTATGACTGTCATGTACTTGTCAGACAGGAAAACAGTGGAGGAATGTCCACCATTATTGACATGAGTACGGCAAATGTTTGGACTACCTGCTTCCGAGTGCGTCAGAGAAACAACAATATCGTCATCCTCAACGTCATCATCGTAGCGCTCGCGTTTGCCATTACCATCACTATCATCGCCCACCATCGTGCTGTTGACACAGTGTGCTACCTAACAGTGAAGACGTGGAGACACGTTCACCAAGTCAAGTGTATGAAGAGATTGAATGGGTGCCTGGGAATTGGACTGGATTTGGAGTTTGGCCTCCAGATTGAAGGCTGCTTGGCCAAAGGCCCTCCAGTCCTTGTGACCTGCAGAAAATAGGGCCTGTACATAAGTTATCGGGGTAGCCTGGACAAACAATTGCAATTTGTCTTGGTCTGACTGGCCTATCCTCACAAGCTCTGCAGAAGCATTCTTGGCTCTCTCTCTCTGTAGTAACATGTCACCCCTGAACGCAGGAATGGAAGTAAAAGATGAAGAGGAAAAGAAAATGAAGAGGTAAAGGGGAAGAAGAGGAAGAGGAAGAAGTAGAAGGGATAATCAAAACCTGAGTGCAACACGGCAAATCTTTTTCTTTTCCTTTTTTTTTTTTTTTTTAATTCCCAAGGCCAGGGTTACTGTGGGCAGTGAAATGAGCATCTCCTCATAGTAGCCCCATTGGGGGGCTCCATTCTATTGGTGGGGAGCGTCACCTGCTGAAAATCGGCTCCTGCGTCCCTTATGCAAACAGTCTCGTCATGAACCGTCCTGGGTGTTACAGATATTATTGATTTCACTGCAGCATTGATTGCCCTGAGCTCTCAGGGGGATTGACTGGCAGCGACGCGCTAGGCTAGGGGCTGGCTCTTCAGCCTATTTATGGTTGCCTGCTAGCTCAGTAAACCAAGCAGCTTTCCTTTCTGTCCCAGTACCCGTCGGCAGTGGCCCCTACGTAGATAGAAAAGATTCCGAAAAGAATCATCGCATATTAAGAACGCAATAAAGCGCAGTCAACATGAAGCACTGATCTGCTGATGACCCAGCATGCACCTTTCTACCACCAAACCAGTGGCAGGCATCATCAGAGGTCCCCAGGAGAGACTCCACGAAAGAGATCTATCGAAAAAAGTCATTGCCATCACCGGTAACACAGTCAAAATTAATCATCATCATCATCATCATCATCATCATCATCATTGTTGATCGCATAGGCTGCTCACCATCTTCGATATGAACAAGAGTATTTGTACCATCAGCACCCACACTCTCCCACTGTCAGTTTTGTGTAAGTAGTACCACCAACTTGAAGTTCCCCATCTACATGGCAGATTCTTTCATCTAAGCAAACTATGTCTTCTGTTTCACTCATCTGTCAGACCACATCCATGTATTGTCTACACCTGATTGGGATAATAAATCATGTTTCACATGCTAATGTAATCTACATCTGCACACAAACCAGCCGTAATCTTCCTAGAATACGCTTAACTGCAGAAGCGCCAGCCTGCTCGCAGTATGCCAACTTCACACCTACGCCCTCTGCTACCAGTCATTGGCCCACCAACAAAGACAAAACCAGAAAATGTCAGAAAATGTCAGAAAAAGGGAATGCCTCCATGAGTCCATGTGCATTTATCTCAACTTTTCAATCAAAAAGAATCCGCAACCACACGAAAACAGACGAATCCCCTATGCTCCCACACGCAAAGTACAACTTCCCTTCATTTTCAGTTCGAGCTTCGAAGTTACAAATCCACAGGACCATAACTGTCCCAAGTTATCAATGTGAAGTTGTGAACACTGTGAAGAAAAAACGTTTTCCAAAGTTGGATCTTGCCCAGTTTTTGTGGCTAAGAACTTAAAAAGCATCACGGAACGGAGGGGCTCGATAATTGAGAGTTGTTTCGGCCAAGTCGCAACAGCGAAGGTCAAAAAATTCATATGCGGATATGCCAGCACAGATCAGAGCATAAATTTAAATCTCCCTGATTTCCATTTTGAATCTTTGATGCCATTCTTGATTTGTAGTTTACCAGTCAGTCAGAGTGAGAGACAGCCAAGAGCATTCCGATAATATAGTTTCAACTTTCAAGCACGGGGAAAAAAAAAGAAAGACCAATGTGTCTTTCCAATCAGCGATGGGATACAGCTGCATTCTGCAGGAGGCATTGACTGTGCGACTAAGTGAAAAGAATTTAAAGAAATAGAAACAAGTGCGACGGTGTCACGTTTTGAGTTTAAAAAGGCAAAAACAAAAAACACGAAAGGGCATTTTTATTAGGGTCACAGTTTGAAAATGCAAAAAAAAAACACACTTAAAACTGGTAATGTCAGGCAGGCCCCCAGTTGAGAATGAGCATTGGAGTCACATCCGACACGGTCCCACACTGTCCCAGGCCATCCCAGGCTGTCCCAGGCCGTACCGCATTCTTCCCCCCACCACTGTGCATGATCGTTGAAACTATAGAGAGATCTACACGATGGGGATGACAACAGGGCACAGGGCAGAGGGAGCGCGATGAGGGAGAGGGCAGAGAGAGACAGAGGAGAGGGGAGAGGGCGCCCGGGGCCATGGGGGAGAGGCACAGGGCCTGACGGTATCGTTGAGACTCGCAGCATCTTCAACCACTAGGCAGGGCCCGGAAGTCGAAGATGCTGCCAGCCTCAGACGATGAGGCGCAGGACCCTTCAGTTTGAGCCCCAGGCGCATTCTGGAAGGGCCCCGGGGCGCAGCTACTGGGACACAGGCGCGCAGCCAGGCCAGGCCCTTGACCGCCAGCAAGTCACCTTCATAAAGGAAAGTGCCCTGTGTCGGGCGAGGACATTCTCGCCTCGCACTCATGTCGCAGGCAGTGAGGTTAGGTGGGGGCTGACATCGACAATTCAGTTCATTGCTTTTCTCTTATTTGGTGTGTTACTTGGTACTGTAATGAACCCAGTCGTGTTGAGAAGCCAATCAATGTCGTGATACAATTCAGAACCATACATGCGGCGCATTGCCATGCGCTGCAACGCGCACGTGCGCCGCACCGCGCAGTGCGCAGGACGCGCGCGCATGGCATGCGGCGCATTGTGAAATCCGGGGGTCACAAAAAAAAAACGAAAGTTGTGGGGGGGGGTTGCAAGGCCGGCAGGCACTTCGCGCCGCCGGGTTACGAAAAAAGAATTTTTTTTTTTGAGGCCGCGCAGGGCCCCGCAGTTTTTTTTTTGAGGCAGCGAGGGGCCGAGGCCCACAGCAGCGCGAGGAGGCAAAAACGTGGCAGTGTATATTTCGAAAACGACAACAACTCAGTGCTTTTGCAAAAAGAAAAAGAGAACCAGAAACTTACCTTTTATACCCGAGCAGAATCTGTCAGAAAGTGACAGAAGCTTGAAACCGTTGGTGAGTGGGTGTCTCCACTACACATGCCACAAAATCTGCTGAAACTTGAAACCGCTCGTCAGATTTCCTGGCACGAGTAGTGGAGAGAGCCCCACTCACCAAATGTGCAAAATGAGAATGAATCTTTCTCTAAAATACGGGAAGATACACAGCCATATTTTTTGTCTTTTGTGTATGTGGTGCGTAGTCGGGCGAGGCCCATGCTCGATGCCCGTTATAGGGTCTAGCTCAACTACTCACCACATGCACAAAAGACAAAACATATGGCTGTGTATCTACCCATGTCCTAACCGAAGATTCATTCTCATTTTGCACATTTGGTGAGCTGGGCTCCCTCCACTACATGTGCCAAGAAATCCGTTGAAACTTGAAATGGTCCATTGGATTTCCTACCTTCTTCCCCCGAATACAACGTACGGTCATTATAGCTGTATTTGACGCATCTTTCAGTCTAGATACAGCTAGAATGAGTGTACGTTGTATTCGGGGGAAGAAGGTAGCACGTGTAGTGGAGGGTGCAACACGAGAATGAGGGCGTCGCTGCACTACTCTCCAAACGCGCAAAATGAGAATGAATCTTCTGCTGGAACATGGAAAAGATACACCGTCATTTTTTTTTTCTTTTGTGCATGTTGTTGCATACTGTAACGGTGCAGACCAGAACAAGAACCGACCTCTCAATACAAAGTACAAGATGGCGTAGCGGAAGACTTAGATACCAATGATCCGAACAATCAATATTGCAATGCAGCCCTGAACATACATCATCATCATCGTTCCATGGTGTGAAAGGGGTCTGGCGCTTCACACAGGAAGACTGCGCCAGCCCCAACCATACACAGATGAAGAAGAAGGGGGTTAGACGAAGAGGAGGGGAAGATGGGAATGTCGTCAACACCAAGTCTTCGGCACAGGCCCAAATAGTCCCTCGTCAGAATGTCTGAATCCCAAATGTCAAGTCTGAATCCAATGTCATCAAGTCTCAAGTCACAACTCTTTCTCTCTCTGTCGTAGTCTGAGAAGTCAGGTGGTGAGAGGGTGAGAAGAGATGGTGGACTTAGAAGAGGTAGAAGAAGAGCTCTCTCTCTCTCTCTGTGTCCAGTACTAACCTGTGAAGTTGGCACCTTGATGCAGGTACCTCGAAGATGGAGCTGGAGCTATGGCGCCACAGGTAAGTACCGCTGGCCTCCGCCAGCCATCTCCCTCCAATGCTACTACTACCACCTACTAGCGCCCAGCGCTGAAGACTACACCTGCAGCTATGGGCGCCCAGTGCTGAAGACTACTGCTAGCGCTGAAGACTACTGCAGCGCTCCTCCTGAGTGCTGCGGCCGAATCCTGAAGACTACTTGTGCCTACTGTCCAACTACCTACCCGTGAAGTGCATGGGAACTACCTATGTACTACTCAGGTGCCTCCTGACTGCAGGCGAGGCAGTCCAGGAGGCTGCTCTTGCCAATGCCGAAGGGAGGCAGGGGCTGCCGCTGCAGCTCCTGCTCGAGCTGTCGTGGGGAACAGGCTAAAGATAGCCTGTTCCGAAAACCCTGTTTTTGTGCCTGAGTCCTAGGGTCGGTCGAAACAACGAGGGCCTGAAAATGGCCCTCCGTTTCAGGCTGAAAGCCTCTGGGCCTGAAAGGCCCAGAAATAGGCTGAAAACGGAATAGGGCCTGCAGGCCCTCGTTTTTCAGTTTCAGACTGAAACGACCGGGGCCTGTAAGCCCTATTTTCTAGGCTTTTAGGCTGAAAGTGCGGGACGGGCCCTGCAGGGCCCGTGTGGCTACGCAGTATGCCACAATGTGGAGAGTTGTGGAGCGAGGCCCTGAATCTCACGTATCCCTCTCTCTCTCTCTCTCTCTCTCTCTCTCTCTCTCTCTCTCTCTCTCTC